GGTTGAGGAGAGCTGGGGGCACTTGATTCTGGAGGGGGGTTGAATTGGGGTGGGAGCACTGAGGGTGCCTGGCTCTGGGGAGGGGTGGTTGTTTTGTACTTAAGAGTACTGCACAGGATCTTTATTGGTAATTCACACAAATAGCCGTCAACACTTACCGTAGGCCTGTGATACAGCGCGCGCGAGCACACACACATGTCTGGTTATTGCCAATAGTTGCTCCCCCCCAACTGCACTGGCCAGGTGAGTTAGGTGCGGGAGGGGTGGAGCCAGCTCCATGATCCCATGTTGACGGGAGGAAAGCCGGGGTCCCTCTGCAAGAGGCCTTAGATTGATAGTGTCTTCACTCTCATGCAGACCCACCGCATCAGTCATCCCATGCAGACGCATCAGCTTTGAGAGTCACCATGTGCATTTGCAGTTAGTTGTCTTAATGCTGCCCCATTGGCCTTCAAAGAGGGGGCTTCCAAAAGCAGGCGCTTGCTGCTGACTCCCAAGGGGTCCATAGGTCCAGTCTTCTTTCAATGAGCCCACTTCACAGGTCCCATTGTTCTTCTCATTGTTCTTGGATCTGGCTCCCACCCTTCTCCTACTATTGCAAGTGCAGGGAGGTGCTGGTCTTTTAGGCCTTATCCATTCACACCTCGTTCACTCAACAGGACAATCCATTAAGCAAAAGAGGGTACAAAATCTATAAGATACAAGGTTTCTATGTAGAAAGACTTCATACACATTTTCTGTGTTCTATATGAAAGTATACATAATGTCTATGTAAAAGGACTTAAAAAATGCAATGAGAAAGTGATTAATACAGAGATTAATGAGATGTATCTACAGTTGCATTGGGATGGGAGGGGGGCTGGTACGCATTACAGAGCAAAGCTAGGTTATGATGCCATCTACCGGCTGTTCAGAAATATAGTAAAAACAATGAATTGTCTAGCAGCGCTTTAAAGACTAGCCAAACATGTAGATGGTATCATGAGGTTTCACGGGCAAAGCCGTGAAAGCTCATGATACCATCTACATGTTTGGCTAGTCTTCAAAGTGCTAAATGTGGTTTTTAAGTTTTTCCTGTTAGTCTGTAACTCGGCTACTTCTCTGAAGCTTAAAAAAAAAGGTTGAGAAACACTGCTCTGTACCCTTCCTTTTGGCCTCTCTGTTTCCTTTCTCCTTTGGCGAGTTGGACAGGCAGGAATTTTGGTAAAAATATATGAGATCTGCACACAGTGCCCACTCTACCGCAGCTGATGCTGGCTAATCTCAGTTCTAAAGGAGTTGACATTCCTGAGGTGATCGATCCCCCCATGTTCTGTTGCAGATTTTCCAAAGACAATGCTGGTGTTTTCTATAGGTCACCCACATCTCCCAGTCGTAGCAGAGACTTGGGATTAACATCAGAAGGGTAGATGTGTTAGTCTGGATCTACAAAAGCGACAAGGAGTCCTGTGGCACCTTATAGTCTAAGGGTATGAGCTTCCCCTCCCCCTTCTCCTTGCTTCCCCCTTCCAGCTCCCTCTTCCCAGTTTTCCCCCTCCCCTCTCCCAGCCTTTCTCCTGCCCTCTCCCACCTCCTTTCCCCCGTCTCCCCACAGTTTCATTCACCTCCCCAGTTGTGTTCAATAAACCCAGTTAATATTTTTGAAAATACGTGTCTTTTATTTGACATCAGGAAGGGGGGGCTAGGGAAGGCTATGTGGAAGGACGTGAGGGAGGAATGGGGCATGAGCCCCCGGTGCGGAGGACCGGTGTGGCTCTGAAGGCTCCTCTGGGTGGACACTCTCCCTCGGGGACTCCTGGATCCTGACAGCCCCCAATGGACCTCCCGGATGGCCGCCCGCAGCAAGTGCA